CAGACCGTGCAGACCGAGGATGGCTTGGGTGGGGCGGCTAGGGCGATCGCCAAGGCCGCACTGAGCCCGGTACAAGAACATGAGACAGGCCGGCGCAGCAGCTCTGGTGAGGTGGGCACGACCCTAGTGCCCATTGTGGTAGAGCCCGAGCGGCCTGGGGCCAAGGTCGAGGTGCCCCGGTCTCTGGGCTCGGACTCTAAGAGGTTGCCGGGATCCGTACCCCTGGTGCCTCCCGCACCAGAGGTCCTCCGAGGCCCCGAACGCTGGGGGCTGGAGATGGTGGAGGAGCGGACCACGCAGAGCGGGCCTCGCTCCAAGCCCACCTCCCCCAAGCTCTCCCCAGAGGCCCAGACCCCTTCTGTAGCCCCTACAAAAAATGCAACAAGTAGCACAGGGCCCCCAGCCCCACCCACTCCCCTGCTCCAGGCCACCAAGCCTGAGGTGGGGCTGACTTCCAGGTGCCCCGCTGAAGCCGTGCCTCCGTCAGGCCTGACCAAAAGGGCCCCCTGCCCCATGCCCCCTGGCCCATAGCTGAGGGGGCCGCTGGCCCTGCACTGTACAGCCGCCTGTATACATATGTACACATATAAATAAAGTGTGTCTGTGCTTCGTGATCTTTCTGAGGCTTGCCCCACCTCCCTGGCAAGGCAAGGTTTTAGCCCTCCTGCCTGTGTTCTTGTTAAGGGGAGGAACGCCAGTCCTGGTTACTATAGAGAGGTGAGGTGAGTCTTATGTGGATCTTTCCTTGTGGTCTCACCTATGAGCCAACTGCTCCCGGACCCTAGGAAGCTGCAACGCTGTTCTGAGTCCCAGCGCCCACCTGAAGAAAGAGTCAACAGCCCCATCTACCACTTTCCTTTTATTCCTCATAAACTTTGAGTCAAGTGTTATGGTTTCCATTTTGCAGATGAGTAAACTGAGTCACAGGTTAAGGCACACAGTTAAGGTCACACAATAAGGGACTGAACTGGGATTTAAACTGAAGTCCAAACAGCCTCCTATATGCTCTGCTGGGCTTTCTGCAGATGAGGTGCTGCCCTTCTCTTACAATGTTCCCAGGCCTTCACCAGAGGCTGGAAGGCTTTCCAGAAGGCAGGCAGCTTGGTACACAGTGTGCCCCCACCTCGGTGCTCCTCTGCACAGTTCCGATTCATGTCACCCACACAGGCCCAGGGCCCTTCTGGGGCTACACACCACTTGGAGTGGTCCTCTGAGGTACTGAACGTGGGCCCAGCTGGTCCAGGGAAGGCGACCTGAGTCACATCCAGCACTTGCTGGGCCCCGGAGCAGTTGGAGGGCAGGATGCCAGGAGAATGTTGCCAGAACTGGACCTGCAGATCACTTCCAAGGGCTTCTGCCAACCAGCCGGAGTATAGGTCTGCAGAGGATGGAAAGCGGGCAGGAGCAGGGGCAGGGTCAGTGCTAGGGAATCCCTAGGCTACTGGCCCTCTCTGAGCTCAGTTTCCTTGGTTGTCAATTCCTGGCTAACAGCTCTTACTAAACACTACATTCATTACTTCATTCACAACAACCCTTTACAGTAGATATTAATACCCCCATTTTCTCAGATGGGTAAAATGAGAGTCCAGGTAAATGATGTACCTACCACACCATCAGAAACCAATGGCTGAGCCCAGGCCTGTGGGTTGTGTACCTCTCATGTGTTTATGGCTCCCAAAGAGTTCTAATTCCCACCTCCAACTTGCTCTCAGCCACGGACACACCCGACATGACCTCTGCAGAGAAAGAGTTCTTCAACCCACACCCTCAGGGCTCACCATCTCCAAATTTCCCAAATTTGGCAAAGCTCTGGAAGGTGGCCCCGGCCTTTGATGTGAGTGTCACGCTGCTGTTCCAGGGTCTGTTGAGAACATGGTGGCCCTGGACCACCTCCTCCAGGACAGGTAATTTCTTGAGGAAGACCCCTTCCAGCTGGTGGGCATACACATTGGGGTAGGTGTAGGTCAGCTGTCTGCCTGGAAGGCAAGGGGAGGAGAAAACTAGGGACTGTTCCATATCCTGGTCTGGAAACCAGGGGATCACCCTGCTTCCTTGTCCCCACTCACCAATGATTGAGAACTGGTCGAACGGAAAAGACACGCAGAGGAGGGTCTGCCCGTATCTGTGGGCTTTAGGAGGCCAGCTGTATGCAGCGGGTGGAGGGAACCTTGGAACGCTGTGGATCAGCCAGAAGCCCTCGTCTTTGTCCAGAAGCAGCACACCTGAACCAAAAGACAGGCTCAGGGGAACTGCTCAAGGTATCCCAACAAGCACATGTGCAGCCAGGACCGGCCTGGGTTTGCAGGGAGCGCGGAGAGGGTGTGGGCAGTCTCTGGACCGCTGCTGAACTCCTTCCGCAGCCCACTGTTGTCACAGTCCAGAGAGAGAGAGCATTTACCCGAGATAACCTGTTACCCTGCCCCTGTGTCCTAAAGGAGCCCCCTCCCGCCCCCGCAGGTCAGGAGTCAGCTGGGGGAAATGCATAAGGAAGCCAGAGCCCTTCTCCAGCCCCCAATCTGGCCTCACCCTTCGTGTGCCCGCGGCTGGAAGAGTTCTGAGTCCCGTAGTTATTAGGTGGCTGGTCATTGTAAAGTAGGAAGGCAAGCTGGGGGAGATGGATGGGGCGACATGAAGTTTTCCCCCAGGCCGAGCCCCCCTAGAGTCCCACCTGGGTTCTGTCGGCACCCCCCTCTCCCCCTTCACCTGGCTGGTGTTCCGGTACAGCGGCAGCAAGCTGCGGCCTACGGCGCCCTTCAGGTTGTCCATGGACCCCGTCCCGTCGCGCCAGCCCCCTGAGCCCGCATCCAAGTACTTGTACCTGTCACTGGCCGGCAGCTTGTAGACGACGAACCTGGAGGTTGGGAAATGGACAAAAACGGAGGAAGGGGACGAGAACAAGCCCCCGGCTTCACCCGGGTGCAGCCACCCGCAGTCCGGGGGGCACGGTCGGGGCCCCGCACTCACCAGTCCACGGGCTGCCCCGAGTCCCCGTAGCAGGTCAGGGTCCCCACTGGGACCCAGAGTAGCGCGCCCAGGAGCAGCAGGCTCAGCGTGGCCATGGGGCTGGAGTCGGGGAGTCTGTGTTGGGACCCCGAGGCGCCGGATCACGAGTTGGACCAGGCCGGGTCCTTGGTGACTTTCATTTCCCCAAACCCTCTAGAGAACCCAAGGCGGAACCTCTAGGGATGAAACCCCGCCCCTGAGATGAGAAGCAGAGATTTGAAGAGGCAGGCCCTGTCCCTGGGGCGGGGCTTCCTTTTGGGCCGTCACTCCTCTAAGATCCGGTCCTCATTCAGCCAGCCTACGGGTCGCCTCCTATTCCCATTGGATGCGACCCTTGGTAGGCTCCACCCCCTGGCGGCTCAGACCACGCCCTTTGACGGCCCAGTGGTTTCGCGTGTCCGGGCCCGACTCTACTCCTGGCCAATCACCGCTCACATTCTTCCGCTAGGCCTAGTCTCTGTCTCTTTTGATTCTTGTTTCTCCCAATCCACTCTCCCGCCAGACCCTGTTCCTCCCTCGGCTTATGGGTGAGACACAATTTTTTTTTTTTCCTTTCCAGATTTATTTACAGCCTGAGGTCCAACTCTTGGGACTTTTGCTCTCTTAAGGAGAGTTTGTGCCCGGCCGGTGTGGCTCAGTGGTTGAACATCGACCTATGAACCAGAGGGTCACAGGTTCGATTCCTGGTCAGGGCACATGCCCAGGTTGCGGGCTCAATCTCCAGTAAGGGGGCATGCAGGAGGCAACCGACCCATGGTTCTCTCTTATCATGGATGTTTTTATCTCTCCCTTTCCTTTCCTCTCTGAAATCAATAAAAAAAATATTTTTATTTAAAAAAGGGGGACAAAAATCGTGCACCTATGGATGAGGACAGTGGGTGGGGAGTGAGGGCGGAGGGTGGGGTGGGAACTGGGAGGAGGGGATTTATGGGGGGAAAAAAGAGGAACAAATGTAATAATCTGAACAATAAAGATTTAATTAAAAAAATAAAAAAGGGGAGTTTGTGCTCCTTGTCCTCTCCCCTTTCGTTCTGCATATTTTCTTGAGCTAGCCAAGGGGTCACTGGACCATGGCATGGTGAAGGGTGCTGTGTTCTGGGGCCGGACTGGGGCCTCTTAAAGGGAGATGGTCCCTGTAAATGTCCCTGGGGTTCAAGACAGGAGGCAAGGAGGATGTAGCCTCATCTTGGGGTGGGGGAAAAGGGGAGGCAAGGCCTGCAGGACCCTGAAGGGTATGGCTGAGGTTAGGAGGTGAGTGTCAGAGTGTGCTTCCCAAAATCACCGCTGGGGTTACAGCTTCCTGCCATCTTTCAGCACCAAAAACTCACAAATCCAGGCCACAGCTGAAGCTTTATCTAGGAAGAGCATTGGTACAGGACCCATAACCATTCACAAGAGGTGCCAGCCACCACGCGGAGCTGGGACGTTACAGTGTGAAGACCCCTTCTAGAACCAGGGTCTCTGAGAAGCCTCACCCCATAACCCCTTCCGCTGTCCAAGGCCGCCTGTGAGCTGGTCTGAGGGTCCAGCTCTCCGAGGGTCTGTCTGTCTCAAGTGTGTGAGTGTCCATCTGCGTCCATTTATTTGGAAGTCTGTCTCGTTGGGTCTACATGACCCTGGGAAGTCTCTGTGTGGCTCCCTGTGGCTCAGGACATGTGGGAGCTCCCCCAGGTCTGCCTATGGGCCAGTCCTTGTTCTTCCTGGGGATCTGTGGGTCGAGAGTCCGGGCCAGGGTCCATCGGAGGGAAACCGCCCTGCGTGGATCCGCTCCTGTTCCATCCCCAGACCCCAGGAAGGTCCAAGCGCCGGGGGTGGTGGTGGGGTTGGCTCAAATGTGACGCTTCATGTGCAAGGCCAGGTGATCCGAGCGAGAAAAAGCCCGAGGGCAGAGCTGGCAGCGGAAGGGGCGCTGTCCCGTATGTTTCCTGTAGTGGCGGGTCAGCTCGTCTGAGCGCGCGAACCTCCAGCCGCAGCCGTCCCATGTGCAGGCGTATGGCTTCTCCCCTGGAAGGCAGGAGACCATGAGTGCCATTGTCTGCCCCACTCCTCCCTCAGGTCCGCCACTGCATCTGGCCACACTCCTTTGCTCAGCCTGGACCAGGACTGGGGTGAGGCAAGCCAGGCGCTTAGGGTGCAAAATTTAAGGAGGCACTCACTCTCCAGCCCTCTGCGACCCCGACCCTTCTTGTTCAGTACCTGCATCTGGCACCAAGCCGGTTTTCATTTCCTGGGCCCAAGTCATATCCCCTGCACCACTGGCCCATTTCCTGGGCCCTGTTACCCTCCCCCTGTGTCCTAAGTCATCCTTTGGCCTGTCCCCTATGGTCCAGGCCCCTCCTTGCTTCAGGGGACCCTCCAACTGCTGCCCAACCCTGCCCCTGGCCTTGAGCCTTAGAATCCCCTGGTGTTCCAGGCCCTGCCTGCGGTGATTTCGCTCCCCCCCCCCCCCCCAAACCCCCCCCCGCCCCTCACTACACCTGGCCCCACCATCTTTGCGACCCCTAAAGCAGCGGTTTTCAACCAGTGAGAAATACCTATTTAGTCAGGGGCACTGACTCCTTTACCCTTAGGTTGTTAAATAAAATGACAACAGCTAACAAAACAATAGTCACCCACTGTGAGTGCCCTGTCTTGAACCATAAATATTTAGGTCATATAATAGAGTTGTATCTTATTGGTCAAGTCGCATAAGAAGGTTACATCTGATTGGTTAATTCTTGGTACCAGAAATCCTTATATGCAAGCATAGGCATCTGATTTTTTTTTTTAAAGTCACTTTGGAGCAAAAAGAGTAGTTAAATACTATTACTATTTTTGTAAATCAATCAAAATTATATGGGTTTTTTTTGTCAGATTGCTAAAAAATATATATTTTGATGCACTGCAGAATTTTAGTAATTAGTTTATGTGTGCCATGTAATTCAAAAGGTTGAAAATCACTGCTTTAAAGACTGACAATAGGACCTAAAAAGATATTTAATTGATGAAGTCTTGCAGATCTTACAACTGGGTTACAGGGCTCTCCGAGACCCGCTTCTCCTGGGCCCACCCTCCTGTTTTCCAGCTATTTCTCCGTATCTTCCTGGAATCACTCTGCATCTGAGCACATGAAGCAGACTCTGTCCTGTATCTCCCCCTGAGCTCCTACCAGGGACCCTACAGTCCGGCCCGCCGCCATGCAAACAACCTACTCTCTATACTCCTGGCTCCGTCTCCCGAGCCCCTGACTCCGCTCACTGCTCGCTACAAACCTGAACCCTGCGTCTTTGGCCAGGTCCCTGGCTTGCCAAACTTGGCCTCTCCCCGCAGTCCCTCCTCCAGCCCCGCCCACTCCTCCACTTGCTAGGCTTCCTGCTCCTCAGCCGGGGCCCAGATCTCTCTCTTTAAAATATATGAGGGAGAGAGAGATAAGATAGAAACATCAATGATGAGAGAGAATCATCGATCGGCTGCCTCCTGCATGCCCCCTACCGGGGACCGACCCCGAAGCCCGGGCATGTGCCCTTGACCAGAATCGAACCCGGGACCCTTCAGTCCGCAGGCCGACGCTCTATCCGCTGAG